TTTTTAAACAGAGAAGAAACCAGTGACTGTCAGCATCAGAAAGGAAAAAGCTTTTCATTTCTGGAAATGGATGAGCTGCTTCAAATGGGGTAACTCTGATTTGTTTCTCTCTCCTCAGTATGTCCTGAACTGAAGCCAGACCTGTATTATGAACAAAACAGTTTCTGCTTTCCAGAACTGAGCAGTAAAAAGAGAATAAATCTACCTCTTACTCAGTATTTATATTGCAGGCAATGGGTGAAAGCTCTCAAAATATTTCTAGACTAGATTTTGTTTCAATGTTTAGGTCTCTGCAACTGTAGGCTGGGATTTCTGAGAATGTAAGTAGTTGCACAGATTTCATTTTTAGGTCAGTGGTAACTGATTTTCCCAATAACTTGAAAACACTAGTAGGATTGTAAAAACATTTCTCATGACATGAGTAACATTAAAACATTAAAATATGCTCCAAATACTTAAGATCACTAGGTTCTTTGTGATCTTTCAAAAAAAAAAAAAAAAAAAAATTCAGACCTACAGTCCAGCTGTTTGCCCACAACAGGAGCTAACTGTACACACACAGTTTTAGCCTGTCATGTACTAACACGATGCATTAGCTTGGCCCTCTGGTTTATAGGTTTTCACTCTTCCTGCTGTCCAGAGCTAAGCCCCTGACTGCTTTATAGGGTTTCAGTCTTTGTGCTGTCCAGAGCTAAGCTCCTGACTCTCTAAGGAATTACCTAAGGTAATGGATTGTGTGTAAGTGTTGCCCTGTACCAACTCAAGGTGTATAAATACTGTATTGGCTTTGAGTAAAGTTGTCTGCAAATTCCTAAACCTAAAAGTCAAGCTAACAAATCCGGCCTCATGCTTGCCTCAACAGGCCCTGTATGAGAAAACACCAAGGCTGAAGCCAAACCAGCACAGTTGCACAGGCCCACAGTCACAGGGGACTATAATTTTTAAGGAATTTCAGTAAGAATTTGGAGCTTTTGTTCCCCACAAAGACTTTTTCACATGCAGACCTGGGTTTTAGGACTTGTTTTTTTTTACTTTGGGTAATTAGGCTGCTGATTTTACCTGGTTGTTCTAAACAAGAACAGACAGATTCCTTCAACAAATCATAGCTAAAATTGTTGTATTTTCCTTACTCTGCTGTAATAGGTTATACTATCTTCATCCTCATCAACATTGAAAGGCAGAAAAAGAAGACAACTTTTCGTTTTGAAAATTTGCTAAATGCAAATAGATTCTGTATAAACATCCTAGCTCCAAGCATAAACAGCAGTAAGAAAGGAGGGTAAGAAACATCTCTTATGACTTTAGTCATCAAAATGAGTCATCTAATCCAATTTATTCATCTAGGCCCCTCTTGCAGTCAGCACAACTGGCACATCCAGCAGCAGCACATGAATTACCATGAGAAGTAGCTATCTGCCTCTTGCTTCTAGTGTGCCTTCATTAAACATTTTGCCAATTGAATACCTCTGTTAGCTTCTGACCACCACACTCATGAGATAATTGGGATTTTACCCTCTGGCTCTTGTGTGTTATTTCTCATATATTAGTAGTTTCGTGTCTGTTAATCTTCAAGTATACACATCTTTTTGCCTTTTGAAATGGTTTACATCTTAAAACTTTTCATAGTTATCCAATAGCCTGAGAAAAGGGCTGAAATGCAGAAGCTAATTTTGATTTTGTCACTGACAAGCTGTGTGTAGCCTTGGGGCTAGCCTGCCTCCTTGCAGCCTGTTCCCAGACAGAGGAAATATGTAGTTGCACAGCACTCAGCCACAAAATAAGGACCAAACTGTGACTCATTGTCACATTTCTATTTGACTCCTGCTTCTCTCTTGCTCCACTGGGGAAATAAGTTGTGGCAGACAAACAGTTGGCACAGAAACCTTGTCTTTCTCCTCTCCTCACCTTCCTGGATTAGATCAGTGCACAGTCTCCAGAGCATTGCAGCAAGCAGAGCTGCATCTCTGTTCATTCTTCCCTGTGTGGGAGGATGAAGTGTCAGGGGATGCCCATCAACCTTGCACTGTGACCTGCAGGAGATTGGACTAGAAAGAACCGGCTATAGGACTGGTGCTGGAGCTGTTGTGCACATACAGATTAAGCTGTACATTGACAGGAGCCATTTCTCAGAGGTGTCAGCCTTTTTCTCTTCGTGTTTCAGTGGTGGCAGCTTCAGCTACATCTGCCACTGAATTCAGTCCAATCCCTATGTTCATAGACACAGTGGAGTAGCATAGTTGGAGACCCATGGCTTTTTAGACAAATTCTTAAGTGGACCCGAGGAAAGATCCTGGCTGCTACAAGAATACTCAGCAATTGCTTAAATGTAATAATAACAAGAGCAATAATTAGTATTCATTGCAATAATATGACTAATACTAATAATAATGTTAGATCCTGAGAGTATTGCAAAGACAGAGTACTTAGTCTCTGTGCTGACTCTTTGTACTTTTTAAAATACAATTTTAAGGACTTCCACTTTTTAATAGTACGTTTCTGTGATCCCAATGACATGTAATATGAGAATGCTGAAGATAATCCTTTGGAATCTTCTCCTAAATACTTGACAGCTAGAGACATAGGTCCTGCCAGCTTTCTAAGGACATTTATGAATTGCTGTCTTCAGGGATCTCACTTTGTCTTTCACAGTGTACATTTCACCAGTATTTCCACAACTAACAATTTGTAGCTGTGTAAAAGAATAAGTAACAGATGTGGGTTTTGGTGCAAGTAGACAGTGCAGGGTAATGGCTTATTGGCTCCACATTTAAGTTACTAAATCTCACTGTCATTGTCATGTGTTGACCTGAAAGCGCTCCCCATTGCCTCTGTTCATCTCTGAATAGATCCTTGTCCTGATACAGTCTGTCAGAAAGAGAACCCTGAGATGTGCACCAGCACCCCCTGCCAGGCTTGGGCTAAATCTCTAAACAGCAACCACACTGTCCGTGGCAGTGCCTGCACGGCTGTTGTACCCTGCTCTCTGATGTGTCAGCATGGTACCCCAAAGGCAGGCAGCCCAGGAGTCTGGCTCTGTGACTGACAGTGGAAAAAAGAGTTATAAATACCTATTGCAAGGAGCAAGTGGTTTAGTCCTAGCAAAGTCATGAAGAGCCCAGCAAATCATGGGCTGGGAGGTGGTATGGAAAACAAAATAAATTGTGTGAAGTAACAGGTAGTTGAATAGCTTTTTGTTTATCCAAACTATGTGTTGCTGAAGTTTATATCTAAACTTTCAGGTTGTGAGAGCCGGTACTAGCCCTAGAGGAAAACAGACTGCAGTGAAACATTAGCTCCAGGCTGAATTGTTACTTTTTGCCATAAATAAAATTTCCATCTTGTGGATACAGTGTTTAAAAATCAGTCAATCACCACAAGTGCATTCCAAGTACATGGAAAAAAAAAAAAAAAACCAAACCAAAAACTAAGCCAAACATAACTAAACTAACTAATTATACAGTTTATTTCCCTGTCATGTGGAAGGTCAGCTTACTGGGGAGCTGATGCCCCTTATCATCTAAGTCTATGCTTTGTACAAAAAGCCCCACAGAAGACATACATTGTAAAAACACTCCTGTAAAAACAATATACCAACAAAATAAAAAAAAAATCAGACTCTATTTTCTTTCATTCAATGGTCTTTTGTTTCATTCTAGAGTCTTTAATTTTCTGTCTTTAATAAGCTAAATGATTGAAGAGTCAGACTGGTTGTAAAGGCTTATATTTTTTGCCATTAATTTTGGACCAAAAATCTCGATAATTTGGCTATTTCACCAATTTGCCTCATAACAGCTAGAAAATAACCAATGTTTCCAACAAACATTGTTAAGAATATCTAAATACACCAGTGTTAGTATTTGGGTTAGGGCTGTCAGGCTGAGCCACCTGTTTTGGCAGTATTTGCTGCCAGAAGTAAATTATAGATCAGTCCAACTGCTGATTAAAAAATCACATTGCCTCCCTGACTTGGCTAACCAGATATCAAGCAGGATTGTACTACTTGACACAGTCCTAACATCAGCCCTTAAGAAGGAACAGGATCACTTTCTAATAGCACTTAATGCAGATCCTTTTACAGGTATGAACAATAAAAAATGGAAGATGAAAACTACATCTTTCATGCACTGAAAGAAAAAAGTAACTCTCGGAAGACTGTTTAAAAGCACTTTTTTCTATTTTTGTCATTATTACATTTTTGTCATTATTAAATTCAGATAAACAGTGGAAAAAAAGTTGGAGTGAAATTCAACTAAAATATTCAATATTAAAGAGGGTTGCATTTTAAATATATCCCCCCTTCTGACTTCAGCTGTTAAAATATTGTTAAGCATCTAAAATGTTATTTAAATATGAATGGTCAGGAAACATTAAAGGACATGAAACATTCGCATTTTAGAATATGTATTTATTGGTTAATACAATTGCCTTTCATTTTTGCAGGATGACATCTGGCATATTTATTTCAGCACAATTTTCACTGACTCCCTTGGAAGTCTACCTAAACAAGGATAGAAGAGGGATTTTTACCTTTTACCCTTCAGTAACTTCATCTACAGTTCAAAAATACTCCATGCTCCCTATGGAAAAATCAGGGCAAACAAGCTATTCTGACTCTGGTAAATCTCTTATTATAAGGGACTACCAAAGCTTTTTTTCTGAGCAAAAGCTTGAGAATAGAACCCTACATTCCCTGTTTGTATCACTCTAATGGGGCTGCCTAAATAATGGTGTTCTGCAAATGAAACTAAGGATATTTTTAGAGGTGTACAGAGAACTTGCTTCAGTAACTGGTAAAAACTCAGTAAACAAGAGTGAAAAAGTAAAAGAGAAAAGAAAAAAACAGGAAAGAAAAATAGAAATGAATGCAGAAAACAAAATTAAATGATCCTGGAGTGAAAACATTTGCTAAGAGCAACATATCATTTTGACATGCCAGTTCACTTATACTATTAAAGCACATATCATTTTTAGTTAATTATATTTGAAAAGAGTTACTGTACCTTCTGCTGTTATCTCGGCCATGATGATGGTAAGAGATACTCTGTTTAAAAGGTCAAGATTTACTGTGGCAGCTTAGATAGTGCTTCTGGGTTGCTTACTCTCACAGGACTTGCAGAATGAGAAGGAGGGAGGTCCTCTGCTTTTTCTAATTGTGTTCCTTCTTCTTTTATGCTCCCTGAAATGTCTGTTTCCTCTGCAGACCTGGCCTTCCAGAACAACCCAAGGCCTTCCAGAGGCAACACTTAAAGCTCAGTCTAAAGTATCAGCTTCTAACAAAAATAGCCATGCCTCAGAGTGAACCTTCAGCTCATTTGTCTAATATCCTCAGAACCGTGCACACCAGAAATAAAATGTAAAAAACCAGCTTTAACAGCTTTAAACAAGATAGGAACAGGAATTCATGGAGAGGCAAAAAAAATCAAAAGAACTGGGAAAGAACTGTTCAACGCTCCTACAGCCTTGCTAGCATAATTGCAGTTCTTTGGGGGGTATGTCAGGAAACATGAAATATAGAGTTCAAAGTAACCTTATCCATCCCAGTACAACTTTATTCTTAGCACACTCAGCGCTTAGCACATTCTTCCTGGCCTTATATGGCTTGGGGAGGGTCCTGTGAAGCTCACCACTGACTAAGGGGGAGGGTAAATTTAGGTGATTTTCTCCACTTCGACTTTTAGTTGCAGTTCAGAACCAAATAAGACACCAATTTGAACCAATAAAATTGGCTTGGATTTTTTTTTTTTTTTTGCTCTTTTCTGATTTGCTGCAATTATCACATATACCTCTGAAGTTCATCTAAGTATTACAAAACACTGCTAAAAATTTTAATAATAATATTTTATATAGTCTAGATACATGAAGGCAATATGCAAAAATATTAAGTAGACCAGATTTGTTTTTCTGGGCCTGATTCACGGAAATATTTAAGTAGCTCAAAAATTCTGTGATTTTTTAAAAAGATTTTATAAAACTGAAAACAAGTAGATTCTTAAAAGCATTTAGAGAAAGTAAAATATTAACAATTCAAATAAGATTAATTATTTTAAAACCTGAGCAATCTTTTCCTTGCCCTTCTTGCAATTCCACAGCTGTAGAATTATGTATGTGGTCAATTGCTTGAAAATGAAATTAGCAGAAAAGTGCCCTCAAGCCAGCATACCTTTACGTAAATGTCATCAACACATGAAACCAGAAACCATCTTAAACAGCTTTTGCTAGTGAACCTATAGTCACCTTGTCTCTGCTACATGAGTTGGCATTTGCACTTCTCATCTTCCCCCCAGGAGACACAAGCACCTGGCTCTGTGGCAAAGTGTGGGGAAAGGAATCTATTTATCCAATGCACAAGATGCAGAAGCAAAGGTTCATTGAACAGCAAAATCACCACCAGGGTTTTTTTTCTTCCTTCTACTCTTAACACGCTTCCTACCTCCCACCTGTCTGAAAATGGTAGCTTTATCTAGCCAAATCTTGCAATCAGTGCTTGAGCCCCTTTCTTCTTTAACTCTACTAACTTAATGTTTTGCACTGACAAGTTTTGATTACTTGAGCTAAATATTCAGTGTTTTTCTGATCATCCCTCAAACCCTCTGTTTGCTGCTTTAGCCTGTTCTTCAGCAGATCCTCCTTACCAAGGCTGATAAAGAGATTTTGTGTAAAACCATATTTCTTAAAAAATACTCTTTCATGAGTACCAGAATGGTCTGAGGAGTCACATTCACATATCAGCAAAACAGCTGCCCACAAAAGGTCAGAGCTTAGTAAAGGATTATACTAAGGCAAATCCCTTGTTCTTCTTAATTATATCTCTTCTGCTGAAGCAGTTCCATTTTATATGAACAGTTAAATATTTGGGGTCACCTATGTTTTGACAGCTTTACTGCTTGCTTGAGATGTGAGATAGATTATCTGAATACCTGAAGCATAGAGCTAATCAATCCTGAGAAGTCAGGATTTTTTTCACTTGTATTCCTATTCAAATTCAATAAAATAGAAGTCTTAGTTTGGGAATGTGGGGAAAGAGATAAATGGTGAAAAAATCATGTCTGAATCTTTTGTTGTTTTATGTAGCAAGATCCTGAGATTGTGAACTATACACAGACATAGGCGTTTGCGTAACTACGTGTGCATGGTTGCCTGTCCCGCACCACTTTACATTGCAGCTCCTACCACCTGCCCTTCTTCCTCCGTGCTTTACTCCTTTGTTACTATTTATGATCACCCACAAAGATGGGCTGTTATTCTGAAATCAAAATATAAGAGCAGAAGAAGTGAGAGAATCCAATTTGAAACAAATTTTCCACAACATCAGCCCAGTGGCCAGAAGGAGAAGTGGTTGGTACCCTCTGCATCCCTTGTATGCACAAAATATTCATTCTGGGAAGCAGGCTAAAGATGACATATGCACCGATATCTTACACATATGTGTCTTTAGGCAAATGTATTGGAAGTTACACAGTTGCTCCCTTTAAGGAGGAAAAAATCAAGGTATCTGGGTGTCATACTTACTAGAGATAATCACAGCTTTCATGAAAATGCACAGAACTAAAATAAAACAAGTTATGTGTATGTGCATATATGTTCAATCTGAAAACCAAACACTGCCAAATGGAAATGATAAAGAATGTCACATTTACTCTTTAGAAGTCTAAGCAACAGAAAATCTGAAAATTTTTTTAGGGCAAGTTAGGAGTTGTTTCAAAGTCAAAAGTTTGGCTCCTTATTCAGTTTAGGAGTTTCTTTTAAACTAATCTGTGAAACTCACAGTATGCAGAAACTGCAAAATTTATACGAATCTTCATGCAACAAAGTAAACATATTTTCCTGACCTAGTTTATATGAAAATTTCATTTTAGTGGGAACATTTTCTGCCTAATCTGACCAGAAATATTCTCTGTAAGATGTCCTTTTTCTCTCCTTGCTCCTCAAACAACATGGAAACTGAAAAATCTAAAACTACTTTAGTTCTTGCAAGTGATATCTAAACCTGGACACACACAAGTTTCCCATAATTTCTTCTGATTATGCCTTGGGCACAATGAGAAAGTCTTCTTGCCTCAAGTTAGCAAGAGATATTCTGCTCCTACTCACAGGGGTTACCTGGTAAATGAACTGTCCTGGGATCAGTTCCAACATTCAGAGGTGAGAAGGGATGGAGGGACATGTAGAAACAGCTACACCCTCACACCAGGTTCCTCAGATACACAAGTCAGTGTTAGAAATGTAAAAAGACAGTTCTCTTTTCTCTGTAGTTGCCTGGACAGGGAAAAAAAGTAACAATACTAGAAAGAGGGATGAAGGATGTACGATATGCTGCTGCTAAAGTCTGCATGTAACCACATGCCTTGATCGCAGATAATGCATATTTCACTTAAAGCTCTAACTGATGGAACAAAGTAAAGCAATTATTTGAGCAACTTTTTAGGAAAATGCGAGGTTTGCTATTTGTCAGATTCTAATGAAAACTCCTGCTTCTTAGTGAAAAGTTTGGTTGTTCATATAATCAAAGTAGGAATATAAAAATATGTTCTGAGATAATTTTTGGGTTGTCTTAATGTTATTATTAAAAAGGGAATTAGGACAAATGCTCACATGGAATTATGAGGTAAAGAGAGGAGAGACTTTGATACTGATATAAGAAAGTATTGGAGAGTTGAACAGTCAGTCAACAGGAAAATGCAGGACAATTGCTCACATGGAATTACGAGGTAAAGAGAGGAGGGACTTTGATACTGATATAAGAAAGTATTGGAGAGTTGAACAGTCAATCAACAGGAAAATGCAGGACAATATTTGAGTTGTCTGCTAGCATGCTACTGATGAATTCTCAGAGTCCAGTTTTACTGAGAATCAAACTATTCAGAAGAAAAGAGTTTTTTATCCCAGTGCATGCTCAGCTGGGTCAAGGAAAGGAAACTTAACTTTAATTCTGATACACCCAGTGATATCCCCAGATCACATGGGAGTATGTTGTTATCAGAAACACCCAGCAATCGACTGATAAGAACTAAATATAGGATGAAAGTATAATGCCAAGGAGAGGGTGAATGGTACTGAATCTAGCGACTAACAAAGACATATGCAGAAGCAAATATAGGATTAGAGTGATGTCTGCCAACTGAGCTTTGATGTGCATATGAAACTTGTTTCCCTTGAAACAGATTTTTACTTTTTCTGCTTTATTTTTGTTTAAGAATACTGTTACTTCTAGATTAGATTTTCATTCAGCTCCACTAGTAATACCATGTTTTCCAGTGTGAATAGGAACACACATTCTGATGCTTTTGAAGTCTTGATCAGTCAAAGATGTAGCTGTGACTTTCTATGGACCATTAGATAAGTCTCAAGTACTTTTTTTCCATGTGTGATTGATATTTCCTAATTAATGGTTGAAAGATTTTTTGAATCAACATGGCAAAAATATTGGCACATTCTGGATATTCTGAAGCATACACAAAATACCAAACAAAGCAAGACCTTGGTATCACATCTGATCTAGGTTAATTCTTGGCACATATATGTTTGTCTCATAAATCAATTTGCACCATTTTTCAGAGAATTGCATACATAGTACCTTTGAACAAGTTTTTATTTAATATGTAGGAGACAGTGAGTTGAACTCAATAGTAGATCTGTCCTACATTTAATGTGAACTACTGACAGACAGATAAGTAGCTCTGTCCCAGTAGGCTGCCTGGTCTGAATGCAAATCAGCCTCTGCCCGGGGACAGCTGACAACCACACTGGGGTCACATCACCTTGGCACTCTGAACTCATTAAAGAACACTTCCAAAGCTACATGATAGAAACACAGCAGGTACAAAAGAAAATATCTATGACACTGACTATTCTGCTTTACTATGGATGACATCACTGTTAGTCGTACTGCAAAACTGCTGAAGTAGCTTCAGTCAAGGTGTGTGAATGAGTATTTTCTAACATCCAAGAAGGCCAATTGATTACAAAACTACTTCCAGGAAACAAGAACATCCTACTTAGTCTTCTTGCAAGCCACCCAAGTAGGCAGTCTATGGCAGGACTAAAGCAACCTTCTAGCTTAGGAGAGTTGGGTGTTTTCAGTGTTCTCTGCTTTAACTATAAAAATTATATTATATTACTATATACAAAAATTATATTATATTACTGTGTTACTTATATAACTTATATTACTATAAGCTAGGTTCAGGGAGGGCACTTATTGCAGCCTTTCAAGGTAGACTGCATTTGGATGACCTTTAGCAGTTCAGTGTAACATGGTTTTCCTTTTCCTTTGATTACTCTATTCTAGTTATTCTTAATGAGTATTGCTTTATTAGCACCTGTGTGGCTTTACTTTCACATCTAGAAAATCACTCAGAAGCTCTTTCACAGACAAGTTCTATGACACTGAAAAAGAAATATCTGGAGCTGACCCTTTTTAAGAAATAATGACAACAAGTATGCTATAATAGTCTT